TCTTGAAATGCATGCTGTTCACTTTCACTTGGAGCAATATCTAACCTTTACTTCTAATTAATCTAGCTATAACCTTATTGACAAGTAACAATACTTCTTCAGGTAATAGAGCTAGAGGTAAGCCTAGAAATTAATAGTCAAATTAAATATTGCTGTCATTATGGACAAATGGAAGACTTACCTAATATTGACTCTTGTCTCGGTGATGAAGCAACTGTACCTCTTAAATTACCAACAATTCGATATTCTTGCCGTAATTTTAGCCAATCTCGCGAATTCCAAACATAAGCCACTCCATCGTTAAAATATAATTTCATTGCACCAAAATTCAATAAAGGAATATGTGAAAACAAAAAGTAAACTCTCAGTCGATCGCAGAAATTGGCAGAAATAATTAATTTTATATATATAGATTTTGCTTCAGAAGAAAATGCTTTTTTTAATGCAAAGAAAGGAAAACTTGTATACTATATTATAATATAACATATAATTAATATATTATACCATTATACTGCTCAGGCACCTTACTGGAGAGCGGTTTATTTGACATTTCATAAAACAACTGTCAGGTATGAAGTTACCATTCAAACAACGAACTAACTGTCAATGCTGCCAATATTGTGCAAATCACCGGATGATTTTTTGAATTTATATTTTTATATTTTTGCTTATGTTAAAATATTCAGACGTCATTTAACTAATATTAAAACGCGCGTAATTTTATTCAATATATAAAAGAAATTAATACAACTCTCATTTAATTTGATGAAATTGCTGATATATGTATGAAACATATAAGTTTATGTGAACAAAATGTAGGATATATCCTATATTTTGTTCACATAATATCATTAAACTCTTTATTTTTATATAAACTCTTTATATATATTATATATATATATAATGAAAAATATTTTAAAGTACTATTATATAATTTATAAACCTTTAGTTATCAAACATCAATTACGTACGGGATTCAATATGTCTAGGCATCAAATATACTATGTTTTGGCTGCGGTGTATTTGAATAAAAATTCGAAGATTGAACTGATTTAAAAATACAACTAAAACTATAGTTTTGTTATTTAAATTCATGCAATAATTTGTAAGCATACTTTATAAAGCAAAATATATTGAGCAAAAGGCGTCAAAAAATTAAATTTTTAATTATTCATATTTGCAAAGTCATGGATATATATCCATGATTTTCACTCAAATCAAACATACACATTTTTCTTCACAGAGTAGATGTTCTAAGTCTTAAATATTTCTAAACTCTAAATTAACTCCATATAATTATATAAATAGTGTATAGTATTATCAAAATAAATAAATTTATCAGTATTTTTTATATATCCATTTATTGATAAATCGAAAAATAATTTTGTAACTATAGAAAAAAGTTTCATTTTCAAAATATTTTAGTCCATTTGCATCAATTCATCCATATGACATCAAAATGGCGTGAATTTAATTCATATCACATCAAAATGGCGTGTGAATTTAATCATCGTCCTTTCAATTGAATAATATTTTACCAAATACTACATATAATTCTCTATACCATAGTTTGTGTTAATTGAATATCTTCTAACCATAATTACCTTTTGTAATTTTTTATAACAGCATCACCTCATTTCCTATTGCACTTGCACTTTGTTTCAATTTTTTTTTATTTATGTCACGAATTTTGCACAAAAAATAAGATGTCGACAACAGGTTAATCTTGTTACTATATTATCTATGTTGACTAAACTCATGTCCATCTGTTCGAGTTTTTTAACCATAATCCATAAAGCCTAAAATGAAAAACTTCGGCATGAAAAATGAAAAATCCTTTCTAAATACCTTTGCTAAGACGTCAAATAATGATATTTTCCAGTTTTTATCTTTTTATTTTGGTTAGAATATAAAATTACAAAACTATAAAACCACTGGGTTTTGAACAAACACTATTGTCAACAATTCAACCAAACTAGATTAGTTAAGGAAAAGGACATATATACACAAATTACACATAACACATAACACAACACATAATCTATTTAATTTACTTATTTATTAGTTGTATTAGAATTTTTTTTAGTTACATGTGCAGGAGAGCAGCTCTCGCTTCGGCGATTCATGGCCTCGCACTCGCAATCGCTATTGTCTGAAGAACTTCGATCCATAATATATAAATACTTATGATAAGCTCTAGAGCAGTTCTTCGCCTTTTTAAATGACCTGGTAATCTTCTTCATTTGAGGAATGTCCTCAAAGTCAGTAGACAAATTACTTGGGGATGATATACCAGACTCGGATGACACCGTGCTGCTGGTCGTCGGACATGATTCATCAGATAATAATCGATTCCGATTACGTTTCACACCAGAACAAGATGGCAACGTCAAACTTTTAGCGATCAAACTTGCTTTATCTTCGTTAAAGTTCGGCAAATTCAATGTCGGCACAGCCCCGTTCTTCAATTTTCGCGTGAAGGATTTGTAGTCGTCCATGCGGAAATGGTTCGTGCAGATCGAATACCTCTTATTCAGTTCTTCAACAGGATAAGTCTCAAGTTGAGGATTATCCACCAACTGCCTCCACAATTCTGCTCGCTCTATATTTGTAGGAAAACGATGCACTAGAATGTGCGTATGCAGATAGGAAAAACATTCAGGAACACAACACTTTTTCGCCATTGTCAAAATTTTCAATTTAACAATCACTAATGTCAAGTCAAATTTGTCACACGTCAATCAGATTTCTAAAGACCGTTAGTCATTTATTTTTCTGGTTCCAGCACATCTCGTCCAGCGCATAAGATGATTAGGCGCTGAACAATCAGGATATGCGTCCAAAGTAAAAATACCGATAAAAAGTCAATGTAGTGTCAAAAATTAGATACATGTCGCCAAATCCAACCAAAAATATTTTAAAAAAATGGAATATGTTCATAAATTAAGTTTTAACGTTTTTTTGAAGAAGTAAACAATTTATATTTCGTATTCAAATAACGCGGGTTCCAAAAACGCAAGTAAAAATAATACTGTCCAAGTGCGTAGTCAAAATGTCCCGTAAAAACAGTAACAAACAAAATTCATGTCCGTTGAACTTATCTTACCTTTTCGTTTTTCCGTACAACTTTATGCGTGAATTGAATTGAAAAAAAATGCGAACTTTTGTATTAGATAATTTTTATATTTTTCGAAATTTAATTTTAGATGTCTTTTGTTTTTTTTATTACTGAAAACTTGAAAAAAAAACAAGCGAAAATTCGAGCCACGTGAAGTTCGTTCGTTATTTTTTAAAATGTCGGCGATTAATTTTTTAGTTTTGCAATTCGAAAACTGTTAGAAAAATGCATGAAATTTCAAACCGAATAATGTAAAATCCAAATGTTATATTTGTGATTAAATACTATTTTGTTTTGGCAAATAATACTCCGACATATTGCATATATACGCAGTAAGATTATAGATGATATCCATGCAAAGATAAAACGAAGAATTAGGGAAATGAATTCACAATTTCTTTGAATATCATGGTAAACATCTACAGCTCGACATATTTTAAAACATAATTTGTGAACACTTTGATTTGTAGGTAGTACAATATCTAGTCACAAAAAGTAAAATATTTTAATTTCAAATCACTTTTATCTATATATATATATATATATATATATATATATATATTATATATATATATTTATTTTGGCCAATTGAATTATATTAAATATGATTAAATGAAAAACAGCTTTTATTCTAACCAAATATTTTATTTGACCAATAAGATAAAATGTAAGATATAAATATTCTAATGATGGAAGATTTAAATGTTGCATAATACTTGAATTTTGCATGTAAAAAGCACGTAATAAATTTCTATATACGTTACTTATAAAAAAGTTATATATCATAGATTTAATCATCACATAATATTTGTTGTCACAATACATTTTATACTGAATTAGGCACTAATATGCATCTTTGTATAGAAAGAATAATTTAAAAGTTTATTATGTATATAAATAAAAGTTACTAAAATTCACTAACATTTTGATATAAAAACAATAAATGGAATTACAAGCAATTTATCACTAAGTGAAAGTGTAAGAATTAAATACACTTATCACTGTTGATTTATACTAGAAATAGATACAAGTGAAGTAGCTGTAGAAACATTATCCAGTAATGTTCGAGCTTCAGTTAAGTCCAACATTTTGGGGATTGGTTCAGCTTCTCTTTGAATAATACTATCATTTTGTTCCATACTTATAGTTAATAATTCATCACTAGTCTTAGATTCTTTCGTTTCAAGTAAAAATACACTCTCCTAAAAATATAAATTTATCTTATAAAAAAATAAAGAAAAGTAATGAAATCATGCTAATCTATAAATATCATCGGTATCTATTTGATCTTTCTTTTAGTATGGATACAAACATGATAAATTTGTATTTATTTAATGTAATGCGTGATGACTCCTTGTTAAATAATTTACTCAAATTTGTGCTATTATGTAATTCCTGCTTACCTTTACAGTTTTGTTATTATTTAAATCAATTACTATATATTACTATAATTCCTGCTTACCTTTACAGTTTTGTTGATATTTAAATCAAGCATATCATATATAACAGCATGAAGACCAAGTTTCTTTAAATATTGAATAGTTTCCTTATTATTATTTTCTTCTCCCCAACAAAAAATAACTAATCCAGCATCTGTTGCCAAACTTATCTGAAATTTCATGTTTATATTAACATGTATCATAGACTATGGTTCAAACATGTTAAAAAATGTACCTGAGAGGAATCACGTAATAAATCTTCAGTATTAACAACTATTCCTAAAATATCTTGGCAAACGGCATGTTGAACTGCCATTTCAATATTAATACAGCGGACATCATGATAAGGAGGATATCTGTAATAAAAAATTCATTAGATAAGTAATAATAATTTATCAAACTATAATAATTTTATGCGAGTGTAATAAATATTAGTCTTAACTATGTGCAATGATCATGACATAAAATATAATATTTTATGTCGATATGTTTGGAACATTAAAGATTGTTCTATAAACCTAGTCTTTCTATTTGATGTATCACCTTAGAAGTATTTGTTCATATTTATTATATAAAAATAGAGACTCACTTTTCACTCATTCCTTGTGTAAGGAACATTACAGGATACAAATTTTGTTTCAAACGTATCATAGTACAAATATCGGGATGGAAGCATGAGAACACAATACGCCTCTCACCAGCATTTTTGAGAACAACTTCGAGAATCTACATTTGAAAAAATAATAGAATTCAGATCACTACAGATGATTACTATAAATATCATTAATTGCATATATAAATTGCTTCTTACCTTATCTACATACATATTCATGTCAAATGGATTATACAGCTCATACGAGCCATCTTTGAGTCTCATTGTCCATTTAATTTCTACATTAAAACCTACTTTTGTATCAATAACATTTAAGACTTCAGATAATTGTGGGAAAGGTTGATGTTCTTCTAAATCTTCATCGAAAAACCTCTGTTCATTTTCCCTTCCTTCGACAACATGATAAACCTAAATAAAAAGAAAGGCATAGGTAAGGATAAAGTGCAAAGTAATAGAGCAAAGTTTTGTAAATATACCTTTAGTTTTTGCAATTGCTCAAGTGTTAATTCCTTAACAGGTAGTTCAAGCATTTCACTATATTCATAATATTTTTTCTTTCTCATTGATACACAGACTTGGAAGTCATGGTAAATGATTGGAACGTAATCCTTGCTGAGCTGCACATCAAATTCGACCATGTCAGCTCCATGGGCTGCTGCAGATTTCATAGAGGCTATGGTGTTCTCTCGAACGGAACCACCATTCTTATCACGAAAGGAGGTTCCCAGACCCCTGTGCCCCACATCTAGACCTATAATAGAAAATAAGTAAGTATTGGTAAATTGTCATCTAGAAAATGATTAAAATCTAAACGTAGACAATAAAGAAAAGAGTGCGCGTAAGGTTCACACGCGATTGAAGTAAAACTAGTTTTACTAGTTTACTAGTTTACTAGTTTTAGTAGCAAATAAGCTTATTTGCTACTAATAATTTATCAAACTATAATAATTTAATTATTAGTCTTAACTATGTGCAATGATTATGACATAAAATATAATATTTTATGTCGATATGTTTGGAACATTAAAGATTGTTCTATAAACATAGTCCTTCTATTTGATGTATCACCTTAGAAGTATTTGTTCATATTTACTATATAAAAATAGAGACTCTGTACAAACTGTACAAGATTGCATTTAAGTAAAAATAAATACATCATATAACCATTTCAAATAATATTTAATAGTAATATGGTTACACTCGTGATGCACACATTTGTTAGTGTCAACCATTATACACATTAATATAATGATAAATTATAAATTATATATTTATAATAGCATTAAAAATATGTATAATGTTTAAAAACAATAATGTAATTAAAGTCGTACTTCAAATATGACATGATCGGTTTGTCATTGTAATTAGCATTTAGGACTTGGACCTTCATTAGAGAAATGAAGTAATTGCTGGTTAATACATTCTATAATATTTGTTCACACAGTGGATTATGTAAAACAACGCCTAAAGAAATATTGTTTTAGCAACTTCACTCATCATGTAATTGTGTTTGAAGAACTTCATGTAATTAAAATTAACATACATTCATTGACTGCTTACTTTTTCGCTGGCGATATAATCTCATTCTTTGAACAGCTGTAATACTTGTCTATCCTTAAAAATATTTTCCATTTTAATAACTTCAAAGGTTTATAGAAACTGCGAATAATATAGAATTCATTTCTAATCAAAAAACTTACGTTTAGTACACGGCACAAATGATTAATTTGTTTTATTATTTTCAAGGAATAGGGTAAAATATTCAGGTACTTTTCATTGAATCAAGATTTCTACTACAATGAAACTTTAAAATGTTTATTTATCTATGCCGATTTCCTTGTTAATATCGGTACGCATACAACGTTGATGCCGGTACGCATTCAACGACAGATCTCTGTTCACATACACGACGACTAATCACAATCGACCCGTATTGAAATGATTTCATGTAGAGCGAATAACGTGCAGTTCGGGCGTAACGCTATTTCCGTTGCATTTGTACGGATTAACACGGATAATCGCGCCTAAAGAAGTTTTACTTAAAAAATAACATTGAAAACTATCAATTGTATTTTCAAATTAAAATCTTCAGTTACTCTACAAATATATTTTCTCTAGAATTTCTCTAGAATCTAGAGTTTTTATGATAGTAGTACTAGTACTAGAAACTAGAGTTTTTATGATACTAGCACTAATGATGGTTTAACTTACCAGTCCATGCAGAAGTCCAATGCTTGGCATAGGAAACAGCAAAATTGCATTTGTAATTCTGCATAGGTTTCACAACTAAATACTCTATATACATTAATCCAATTGGACGGTTTTTAATCGCGCAAGTTATTGGCACTTCTATGTTTCCAATGGAATTTTTGAGCTGGCCGGGCATTATGTAGTGATATCCAAGATGCTGCGGAGGTTCTCCGGTCTTGGCCTACACAGGGAAAACCAATTTATAAAACATTTGCACCATTGACGAGAGGCAAAATTTTTTATATCGAATAAAAAATATATGTAATAAAAAATTTACGCAAATAATAGTTTGCGCGTCAAACTTGCTGTGTCATCTCTCTGACCGGAACGGTTCTGCGATCATTTTTTGCACTTAACTGTTTTTTGTTGCTTAAGATGAGCATGTTTACATATGCCAATTAGGATTGAAATATTTTAATTCATTAAATAAAATTATTTATAATATATTGATCCGCTATCATCCGCACAGAAAACATGTAAAACTGTTAGTATCTAAAGATCGTTAAGTACAATGTGTTCTATCAGAAATGTTAACCTGTAAAGCTTGTTTTTAGTTTCACATCGACCTTAAAGCTGTATATATTGTAATTCCACACCATTGCACTCGGCAAAATGAAAAAAATCAATGGTATAAAAAAAAATTAAACGTGCACGTTTTAAGCTTAACAGATTATGTTACTCAAATATTGATGTGTTGATCACAATAAAATTCAATAACATATAATATCCAATGAAAGTATTCATCTAAATACTTCCTAGCAAAGTTATTAAGGTGAATCCAATGAATATGCTGATCAAAAAAAATAACAACCATAAATAAACTTCCAGCAAAACTTTGAGTATTGAAACAATTTCAAAATGCCCAATCAATCCCATAGAATGAGAATATTTTACAAAGAAGAAATCTTTATGGGTTTATTTTATTTCACTGTATTGATGTGAAAAATGTCATTAATTCTATTAATTTTTAATAAAGGAATCTATGATATAATTATAACATGCTGACAAAATCCAACGTATTAAGAAGGTTTTATAAGCAGATTGGGATGCATAAGCAAATACCAATGAAAAGTGATAGATGAAACGAATTGGACTTCATTTTCTTTAGATGCTATAACACAAATATTGCCCAAAAATATTACTCAAGACATTTATGAACATGAAAAATGTTTATATATTGGACAATATGTAATGCCGTATGTCTTATATGTAATCTGTTTGGATATATGCGCCAAAAACATAACTGACTTCAAATCAAGTTGTACCACAGTTTTTAAACCAAACAGATCAAAATAAATCAAAATTTAAATTTGGAAAAAGTTTGCGAGATTTATTATTTCACTGATTATTCAATTTACCTTTTGCTACATTATTTATTTCTATATACACCAGTGTATAGAAGAATTATATAATGACTTTTTTTAAAAATCCCATCTGAAATCAAATGCGTGAAATCGAACAATCCGAATATAAGTAACTGGTCATGATGTGAAGATTGTGACTTAAAAATGATTAATAAAATATCGAATGCTTGATAGAACACAATCACACTGAAAGAGGACCTAAAGTTCATATTAACACAAATTTTTATTGATGCCATTTAAAGAAATGCACCAACACTGAATTTAACGAAGCTCTCCGACTCTGAAGCGACGTCTCGTTCATCGGCTGTTAAAACCTGCCAAAAAAGAAATTCAGAACTTTAAAATTAATTTGTTTCTGACACAGCATACGAAATTATGTATTGGATTTGCAAATACTACAAACACTCAGTTGGTATATTTTTATGCCGTAATAACTAGTAATTTGATATGTCAGTGTTTCCCAACCCGTACAAATTCCCAAAATACGATCATATGTCTTAAAAGTACTATTGTCAGCAGACAATTACGTCAGCAAACTAATGCTTACGAACTACTTAACATATGCTTATTTCATTTTCAGAAAAACATATAGCAAATTCGACATTCTCAAATTAGTTTTTTTCAAGTTCACAGATATCCAGAATATTTAATAGAATCATGAAAATCTTAATAGCTCACTATGTAATTTCAATTAATTCACTCTTACCATTTCACTTATTTATTAAATGCATATAAAACCCTGAATTCTATGTCAAGATCTCAGCATTCATGTGTACTTTTTGATTGATTTTCTTTCTTAACAGGAAACTTTCAGTATAATACTAATAAATTTTCAAGAAAAATGATAACTAAACAAAACCATAATTTCAATAAAAATGAAAAAAGCAAGTAATATAAGTGATTGTATAAAAATGTTAATAAGTTTATCTATGGATCTATTTGCTTATCATCAATTATTAACACGTGGATTGCCTAACAAATTTGTATTTTTATGCATAATACAAGATACAGTGGAACCCCGCCTTACGAGCTCAATTCGTTCCAAAACCACGCTCGCATGTCGAATCTTTCGTATGTCGCAGCATTTTTTTCTATATAAATATTAAAATGCCATTAATTCGTTTCAGCACAGTGTTTTTATTAATAATAAAATAAATGGAACGTTGATAATACCAAATACATATTTTGCAAAAATATAGCAAATACTAAATACAAAAATTAATAAATTATCATATAATTCATTAAGTAAAACTTCTTTAGACGCGACTAGGGAGTAAAGCTGTACAAATGCAACGGAAATAGGGTTACGCCCGAACAGTTTGTCATTCGCTCTCGATGAAATCATTTGTATGCGCGTGGATTGTGATTAGTCGTCGTGAATAGAGATCTGTCGTTGTAGGCGTACCGGCATTAACGTTGTATGCGTAAGGATACGAGAAGGAAATTGGAATGTCATTAGTTTTGAGGTTACATCGTAGTACAAATCTTGATTTAATAAAAAATGCCTGAATCAGAAGAAAATCTCGTATGACGAGTCGCTCGTAAGGCGGGGTACAACTGTATTATGTTCAAACATTAATTACAACCATTAATTGCAGTTCAGTTATTAAATGATTATTCCCATTATTTAGTGCTGCGATTTAATTCTCCAAAGAAATTAGTGTAATGTTACGTAGGCCTTTTCAAAAATTATAAAATATAAAACGATATATAATTTGCTTTTAAAAAGTTAGAAAAAACTGTAGCTAAAAATTCTATTGAAAATTGGTGTTGGTTCTTTTTCCAAGAATAAAATTATGTTCATGGGTTCTATAATGAATTCATTTCGCCAAGCTATTGTGATAATAATAGTTTAAAAAATTGTCTGTATAGGTACATATTTATTTAATTATGTGCGTTTATTATTTAATGTGTCGCCAGTAATCGATGACACCCAGGGCAGTCAATGTCTTAATTATATTTTTAACAGTTGCTTCACGAGCTCAGAAATTGCTTAATAATGGTTAATAGTATCATATTGAAAAAGTTTCATGTTGAAGAAAACATCACTCAAAAATATAAAAAAGCATGAAATATATAATACGAATCCAGTATTTAAAATAAAACTAATAAATAATTTACATAACCCTGACCGTTAGAAGTAAACATTTATAAATGTTATATCATTATAAATAGCTGGAACACCACTATTGAAATAGTGAATCACTTATTGGGAGACTGATATAAAATAGTTTGTGAAGCGTTCAAAATAGAATGAAACAATACTAGCCGTCAACAATTCATATGAAATAAATGAAAATGAACTTAAACATTCAAATATGTTTGATATTTAATTAGTAACATGGGTACTAATATGCACTCAAAATATTGATTGGATCAATTACACATTTCAAAAACACGTGCATTATCGACAACAACCCATATTCAGTTTACGCAAATGGAACTGAGTATGAGGAAAGGTTGAAAAACACTTTGACATTCACAGATCATATAAATAGAAGTCAATCAATCAAACAAGCATTTTGACATTTTTGCGAACTTACTCTTGAACTATACGTGTACAGATCGACTAAGAAAGCTGTCGATTCTGGATTCGGTATGACCATATGGAATATCATACAGTTGTCTTTATTATAAGGCCTTCCGAATTGCTCCTGATCCTCGAATTTGAAGTTTTCGTGATTGAGAGTGGCCACTTTGGTGATGACATTGGCGGGCTGGTCGACGACATCATGACTGTCACCGGTAAGAGACTCCTCCAAGGCGGACATCATGGTGCGGCCCTCGGTACCGAAGCGTAAATTCACCGGAGTTACCTAAAAAAAAAATAAATAGAATATATATATATATAATATATTATTTCTATAAATAAAAATAATTCCTTCGTAATTATTTATAAATAATTTCATTTGTTGACATTCTTTATGAGTAATAACTTAAGTACACAATTTGTAGTTCTTATCAATATTTGGCATTATAATTAACTACCTGCATTGGTAAGTTATAAAAATTTTACATGTCTTTACGCTTCAAAAGTTTCTGAATATTTTGGCATACCTTAACAATAAACGTATGTGTGTGCATATGTATATATATATATATGTGTGTGTGTGTGTCATCGACGATTTCGGGAACATCGATCAACCGATTTGAATAATTCAAAAAATTTTCCATTCGTATTGATGAGGAGACGTGCTGATTAGTTTTTAGCGAAGGCAGGTCTAGCCGTTTCGAAGATACGGGGCAAAAAGTGCCAAAAACGGTAACTCAGTTTTTAAGAAAACGGAGCGTCCCATTTTAACAATTCAAAAAACATTTTACTTGTATTGACAAGATGCAGAACTGATTAAATTTTTGGGAAGGCAGGTCCAGCGGTTATGGACTCTCTTATCGAAAATAAGTTAAAAAAATGTCATTTGGCGGTCAAAAATGTTTATTGAACATATGTACATCAAATTATCAGATATTTTATAGAGATTTTAATAATGAGTACACATTTTGTGTAAATTTTTTTGGGTTCCGTATCAAGATTTTTAATTACGGTACAGGAAGTTCCAGCAATTTGCCTTAAGGCACGATGCCACTAGTTTAAATTTTTTAGAATCATTAGAAATATAAAGAAAGTAAAAAAATGTAATGGCAAGGCCATGTTATAGAGAATTTTTCATACTAAATATTCACCAAGGCCATGTGGTGGTTGTGCGGTCAGACAAATTTCTCAGATTGTCAGATAGAAAACGTAACCAAGAAACCGCACACATGTCAAAAGAAACGATCTTGGATAACAGGGTCTTTCTGACACAGCTTCATAACATACGAGTGACGTTACAGTTTGTGTAAAACGCCTGAATGCACAGCAAACACGGTCCCATAGTTCCATAGAATCGGTCTCATAGTTTCAAATTCAATTATTGTAAGAAGAAACAAAACTCCTACTTGCAATAATTTACCCTTAATGCTCAATATCTATTGTAAGAGAACCTTGTTCACTTATTTTTCACTTCTATAAATAAAATTTCAATTGCAAATGATTTCATACGACATTCTCTATGAGTAATAAAGAAAAATGTAAGAACTCATTAGAGTTAAATTGTTGTATTATACACACAATATTTGTAGATGTTATTAATATTTGGAATTATTATTTAAAATTGTTGGAAATTCAAAGTAAGAATTTGCATTAGATACATTTTACTAAAAAGGAATTCTAAAAAGGAATGTACATCAACATAATATTTTTGAAAATACGTTTTAAAATTAAATTATTATAATGAGGAGAATGACAATCATTATTTAATACTTAACAGATTTATTGTGAGATAACCTTGATCACTTATCTTACTACTCTCGAAAGATAAAAGAACAAGAACAACAGAATTCATTACATGCTGGATATTGTAAACGCCAATTTTACTAAATTATTAAATTGCTCTTTTAGTCTGAAATAAGAAGATAGTTCAGATCAAAGGCCTTGATTAATGATTAGAAAGATTTTTTACATACTATAGAAACTTGCACATGCTGAATCTAGGAAACTCAATGATATGAAATTTTTAATTCATAATTCCATGATTAATCATATCATGTAGAGTGTAAAGTATTAGTGATCAAGAGCCATCAAGTGTAAATTCCACATGGAAGCCAGAAAATGCAAGTTTCTAGAGAATTCTTTCGAACTTTGCCACATGAGACAAATCAAAAGAGACCTTGATAAGATAACAATTGCATATCTATACTTAAACAAAACAATGCAGAACTACTACGATCTAATGATCTAGTTTGGACTTTTATCCGGAATGAGAGTGAGAGAGTGGCATCACCAAATGCAAATTGCAAAAACTTTTCGGTATGGTAAAAACCCATGGTATCTATTTCACATGAATATTTGAATGTGATCTTGACAGTCATGAATATTAATTTTATTATGATATTTTCCATATGGTTTGCAACCAGACAGAAAAAAGACTGCTGTCTAATCCGAATCAACTATTTGACCAGATCCTAACTCCAAATCCAAATCTATAACATTTACAAAGGCGTTATGATAACTAAGGTAAAATAAGTTTTGTTTCCCAATTTTTCAATATTTTCTGCATCAATGGTAGTTCCAATTAAATTTATAGTATTTTCAGAAAATCTACAACGTTGTTAGACAATTTACAACATTTTCAGACAATCCATAACGTTTTCAGACAATCCATAACGTTTTCAGACAATCTACAATATTTTCAGAAAATATACAACGTTTATAGTCTTTGAATCCTGTAGCCTTTTCACGTAATCCACAACATTTTCAGCCAATTTACAATGTTTCTATAATAAAGCAGTATTATGTAAAAATGAAGACAAAAGTATAGTTTTAACAAAATGTTGAAGCACAAAAGCAATAATAATCGTTATTTTATTTGAAAGTAAATTGATGTTTATGCATATTTTTCCGGAATGAAATATTTTAATTTTTTTCGTGTAATATAGACAACTAAATATTTTATAAAATTTTATGAAAACAAATAATTTGCTACTAATTTTAATAGAGTCAATAAATTTTAAACTAATACATCTTGAGAATCGTTGATGTGCATAAATAACGGTATTAACATCCGATAGAAATGCTTATTCAATTCTAGACAATGAGTACAATAAACCTCGTAAACAATACATCAAAAATAATTATTTGCAAATAACATTTCCAGGAACACAATACGTATAGAGTTCTGTTATATAGAAAATATCAACATCACATTTGTAATGAATTCAATATTATTCGACTATAATGAATTATACAATTAAATATAATATCTACATATACATACAGAGGCAAATATTACAACCATAAAGATTTTTGACCAACACCTTCCTGAAAAAAAAACTACTTAAAGGATGGAAATCACGACTTGATCTAATATAAGTTAATTAATCCTGAATAAAAACTAAATTAACATCTTAATTTTAGTAATTACAAGAAAACATTTTAGATTTAATTTATAATCATTATTTAATGATGTTATAATTTATCGAATAGATAATCTACTATAGCTTTGTTTTTCCAACATCATGTCACCATTTTTATGCCTCAGTTTATGGCCAAGTTCTGAGTAAATTACAATTTGTGTTTTTGTTACATTATTTACATTATTTGTTGCAAAATATCTAATAATATTGAAAAATGTAACAAGTGGGGTTTTGCCAGTGTGTAATGAAAAATCAATTAGAGTAGTAATAAGAAACGTAATTTGTATTCAAATCAGTGTTGGTTAAGCCAAATCATCGTAATAAAAATGTAATTTATTATGGATACTAAAACAAGAAGCACTTAACTATAAATAGATGCTATTTTACATCAGCCAACAATGTAAGGAGGTAAGGTATGTATTACAAAACCACAGATTTTTTATTGTTTTGAACACCAATCAGAACTTAAGAGTCCTATAAGCTAATTGGACCTAATATGAAACGTCGATTTTTAGTCCAGTCATTTAAGCTTAAATTAGGTAAAATCTCGAAATTCAAGACACCCAGCTGTAAGTCTGTAAATACTGTATATTGACTCTCTAAAAGTTGTCTCAACACTACATATTGTACGTACACCTTACCATATGTAGGTTTTGAGACAACTTTTAGGGTGTCAATTTATAGTATTTACAGACTTACAGCTGGATATCTCGAATTCCGAAGGGAACTTACTATAATGACTGGATTATTTACAGGTGCCAACCAAAACAGTTGTCTCATCTATGTGTGATACATTTTATAATTACAATTTCTGTAATAGGGTAAATATTTTACTGATGCAGCAATGCCTGGATGAGAGCTATATTCACTTGGAAATATATTAAACCGATGTCACTACTGCTTGACATCAGGCTCCTCAAAGAGGGATCAAACCCGGGAACTCTGATTTAGATCCAGTCGCTCTATCCCCAAGAAAAATAGAGAAACTATACACACCATTATATATTCTCTATTTTTCTTGTTTTGTAACATTTACAATTTACAATTTCATTTACATTTATAATTAAGTAATATATACTCTGAATTTATAATAAATATCAACTTATGCATTAAAAAACTCTTACAAAAAAATATTCTTCAGTTATAATAAAAATATATGCAACAAAATATTCCCCATGGAAACTTGAACCATCAAAACTCTTGCAACAAAATATTCCCTATAGCAACTTATACACATTGAAAAGCCCTTGCAACAAAATATTTCTCGGATTTATAATACTTAATTTATTATAATTATTAATATAAAACAGCAACAACATTTGAAAAACTATATGCCTAGTATGTATTTATGGTTTATATATATGAACCGACGATTGAGACAAGAAAAGTAAATGTAGGGAATTAAAATCTGAGGTACATAACCTTATTTACCTGTTAGTGCTGATTTTAGACCCCTGTTAGAGCAATTACTAATATTTAATTTTACAAGGATTACTTTTAAAACTTCTACTCCCAACCTGTATGTCCTATATAGGACAAAATATATTAGGAGCAGAAGTTTGAAAAGTATTCCTTGGAAAGTCAAATATAGTAAAGGTAGTAAGAGGAGTCTAAAATCAGCACCATTAGGTTGGACGTGACTTCAGACTGAGCATTAATAATGAAATAATACATATACAATGGTACCCTGCCTTACTAGCTACCTGACATACGAGAGTTTTGAGATATAAACCGCCAAAGAAGCGGCTTGTTTGCTTTGTTATACGAGCAAAGTTCGAGATAGGAGCCATTCGTTGCTTCGACACACGAGCAAAATTCGAGAGGCATGGGTTCGCCTAATATTAATTGTAACAATAATTCGCATGTG